TCAGGTGGGTAGCTGCGTCAGCATGCGTAGGCTGCAAAGGAACAAGTAATAGGTTTATTCCATGCTGAAAAAAAGAAGCATCTTCTTTTTTTCAGCATGGAATAAACCTATTACTTGTTCCTTATATACTGTAAGTATGCATCCTGTGTTGTTTCAGGGTTAAAAGAATCAACACTGAGTGTTTCTATTACTGACAAAATTGCCCAGTAGAGTTTGACAATGATTAATCTGATCATGACAACGATCTTATTTTTCTTCTGAAATGTTTGAGATTAACATAATAAGATTGTGTATTTGCATTCAATGGTGATCTGACAAACGTGTGTTTGCAGGTCTTCAGCACAGAATGTACAGAGGCCCTTTAATTAGAGTCAGGGAAGAGCTTTTAACTTTTATGGCTTCATTGTGCAATAATTGTGTTGGCAACACTGTGTATTTGTGGTTAAAAAAAGTTGGAGTTGCTTTTCCACGAACTTTCCATAATGGATACGCTGGTTGAATTGATGTCTGAAATGTCAGTAGTTGTAAATAATTTTATGAGACACATGAACCAGAACAACAAACAAGAAAAAAAACCAGCCAGAAGCCTAACAGGTTATAAGATCTGCAAGTGGTTTAAAAATGGAAAAAGGAAATGACTAACATATACTGTATATATATGGTATACATGAGCATTAGCAGTTTTTCAAATAGATCTGAAGAAAGATTCCATAATAATCAAAGATATTATTCCCTTAATTCTAGAATATTGCACAGGATAATGGCGTTCCTTTATACTGTATGCAGCAGTTAAATTTACAAAAATACTGTAGTTAAGCTTTAATATTTATTTTGTCATTGATTGAAAAATGCATTCTTAAAATATCAGATGTAGTTTCATGCATCTCAATCAGGAAGAGGATGGCCAAAACAGCACTGTTCTATCTGCGATCCGGCGATTTCATTGAACAGGGACAGCTCTTAAGCTGCATCAGAATTAGCTAAAAAGCTCATTTACATGTAGTCCCTGGGTAGGAGAGAGCCCAGAATATGTAAGACATAGACATAAAAAAATACACTGAAACATATCATATGATAGAGAATAGATATTATAAGTGGTAAAGTGCAGAGAAATGATGGCATGTTAAATTAATACATGACATATCTGACAGGTAATTAATAAATAACATTCTGAACAGGAAATTAGGAGGATGTTGCACATGATGTGCCAGAGACTGTTCTTAAAAACCGTACTGCAGTTTGCCTTTGGTTACCTGGTCCATGCCAGTGAGAGCTGTTCTGTGTGCTGTGCTGGGTGCTGCTCTGCAGTAGTGCTTAAACACACGATGGTTCCCTGGCATGGAGCTCTTCCTGGGCTGTCAGCTCTGATGGCTAAACAAATGGATTGTGCAGTGCTCTGCATGATAAAAAGATCTCGAAATCTAGGAGCTAGTTCATCCCGAACAGGCAGGGGATGAGATTAATTTGTCTCTAAGTAATAAGTTGGACTGAACTAGTCTAGTCATATGTACTGAGGAATTTATTGTTTGTGTTTTCGAAAGATTCCTAATGGATGATGGTTTGAGATCTGTAGGGCGACCTTGAGCCTACATGTCTGATCAGAGTACTTCCTTTACCAGTACTAAAGTCTGTTCCAATTCTCAGCGCACAGCAGCAGGCCAGACCTCAGTTTGTGCTACAGTATCTGCAATTGGAGCTGCAATGCAATGGTTCTTGCAGTGTTTTTGAATTTCACTGCTCATTCTTTTGACTTGAAATTCATACAATACTGCAATACCAAGCAATTAACGATACTGTATGGTTGATGTAGAATTCACAGTTATACCATAACAGCATTGTATATATTGTATTCACATGTGATATCAGGGGTAAATGAGGGTAAAGTGCATCTTTAAAAAAATGTTTGTTTTCCTAATGTACAGTAATTTTGCCAATTGGTAAAAGCCATGCAGAACATTTTCGTTATTGTTTTTTCTTGGTATGTATATGGAAAATTATTTAATATTATTTAAAACAATTGATTGTATTGTTGCTAACAAACACACAAATCAGATTAATGGCTTTCATGTTGTGTCCTTTTTATAAGTTTGTATTTTGTGTATGGGCATATACAGTTGGAAATAAAAAGTTTGTGAACCCTTTGGAATAACCTGGATTTCTGCATTAATTCTAATTAATCTGACCTTCAACTAAGTCACAATAACAGACAAACACAATTAAACACAATCTGCTTAAACTAATAATACACAAACAATTGCACTTCCTCTTGTCAGTACTGAACACATCATTTAAACGTTCACAGTCTAGGTTGGAAAAAGTATGTGAACCTCCAGGCTAATGATTTCTCCAAAAGCTAATTGGAGTCAGGGGTTCCAATCAGTGAGATGAGATTGGAATTGTGTGTTGGAGGTGCCCTGCCCTAAAAAAAAGCATCACAAAGGTTGGTTATTGACAGAGTCTGCTCTTCTCAAGAAAGAGCTGTTCATGTGAACCATGCCCTGATCAAAAGAAATATCAGAGGACCGAAGAAGAAGAATTGTAGAGATGGGTAAAGCTGGAAAAGGCTACTAAAGCATTTCTAAAGGCCTGCGTGTTCATCAATCCACAGTAATACTAATTGTCTACAAATGGAGGCAATTCAGTACTGTTGCTACTCTCCCTAGGAGTGGGCATCCTGCAAATTCACAGCCAATGTGCAGCGTGCAATGCTGAAGGAGGTGGAAAAAAAAACCCTAGGGTACAGCACAGGACCTGCAGAAATCTCTTGAACTTGCCAAAGTCTCTCTTCATGTGTCCACTATAAGAAAAACACTGAACAAGAAGGGTGTTCATGGAAGGACACCATGGAGGAAACCACTGCTCTCCAAAAAAAAAAAAGCATTGCTGCACACCTCAAGTTTGCAAAAGACCACCTGGATGTTCCACAACGTGTCTGGGACAATGTTCTGTGGATGGATGAGACAAAAGTTGAACTCTTTGGCTGAATCACGCAACGCTATGTTTGTTGGCAAAAAAGCACTGCACCCCAACACCAAAACCTCATCCCAACCATGAAGCATAGGGGAAGGAGCATCCTGGCTTGGTGCTGCTTTGCTGCCTCAGGGCCTAGACAGCTTGCTATCATAGAGGGAACAATAAATTCAAAATTGTATCAAGAAATTTTACAGGAGAATGTCAGGGTAGCGGTCCATCACCTGAAGCTTAATAGAAGTTGGTTGATGCAACAAGACAATGACCCGGAACACAGGAGTAAATCAACAACAGAATGGCTTAAACAGAAGGAAATGTGTGTTCTGGAATGGCCAAGTCAGAGTCCAGACCTCAACCCAGTTGAGATGCTATGGCATGACTTGAAGAGAACTGTTCACGCAAAGAATCCCAGAAATATCAATGAACTGAAACAGTTTTGTAAGGAGGAATGGTCTAAAATTCCTCCTTACCAATGTGCACGTCTCATCAGCAGCTATAGGAAATGTTTCTACCAGTTACTAAATACAAGGGTTCACATACTTTTTCCAGTCTGGACTGTGAATGTTTAAATGATGATGTATTCAATATTGACAAGAAGTACAATTATGTGTTATTAGTTTATTAGTTTATTGTTTTTGTCTATTATTGGGACTTTGTTGCAGATCAGACCACATTTTTATGTGTAATTAATGCAGAAATCCAGGTAATTCCAAAGGGTTCACAAACTTTCTTACAACTATATACATACTGTATATGTACTGTATTTAAAAAAAAAAATTGTTCCAATGTAAAAAAGTGTGCAATTAATGAGCTCAAAAGGTGTCAGGCATTTTGATCATGATACAGAAGGTACCAGTTACAACCCACTGTGGAAGATAGTTTAACAGAAATACTACCTTGAAGTTGCTAACTATAGCTTTTAATGCCTTGTAAATGTAAAAAGAAAAATTGGTATTGAAGGACACCCGTTGGTGTGCTGTAGTGCAAAAATTGTCTACATGATTTGACATTCAGTGATTGTGCTGCATAACAGTAACTCTTCCACAGCCTGTTCCTACACTCCGATTGCCTTCAATAGAGCATCTTGTATTTCTCTGTCCTATTCTGGTTTCTCCAGAGCAATCTTCTCTCTTTTTTTATTTTTATTTTATTGTTTTACTTCGAAGGAATAAGAGCCTTTAATTTAAAACTTTCCTGTTGAACACTATCATTTACTCCTCTTTTAACACAGTGCAATAATGAGACTTTTCAATTTAAAACATAGAATTTATTTCCCTTTTCGACGTTGGGTTTTGATGACGGTTCCAATGTTTAATGTGATTGGGTTGTCGGTTAAGTGATGCCTTTGTTAATCGGCATTTCCTACCTGCTTCAGCCTTTAACAATGAGCTTTCCAAACACTGCTAGTTCTGGTCATGAAAACACATTGCAGCTGAATTGATGACATAAGAAAGAAATCAAATATCAAAATCAGCCTTCTTAATTCTGGATTGATTTCCCCTTCTCATAATAAGACTTGAAATTTTGCAAAGCAGACTGGAGATCACACAGAAAAATGTCCAATGTCCTGAGATGGACTGGAGTTCCATCCAGGGTGTGGTCCTGCCTCCTGCCCTGTGTTTCCAGGACAGACTTCAGGCCCTCATAGTCCTTACCAAGACCATTCCCTACAGTCTAACCGTTTGGCAGGAGTGTAGTAATCATGCAGACATGAAATTTTTAAACCTGTTTTATGCTTTTATTTTATCTCTATATTTTTTTATTTAATACCCTCTTCAGTTTTGTTTTGCTCTTCAAAATGATCTGGAAAAGTTGCATGATAGAAAGAGACAACTGAGCTCTGTACAATCAAAGGGGTTTGTAAATATTTGCGTTTTTTTTCCTTCTGTTATGTACCGCGTGCAGTGGGTCACCACGAAAAGAGCTTTAGAAAAAGGATGTTGTCGTACACTATCTCTAGCAAAAGAACCCGAATTCATGTCTCCAGTTTGGTTTTCTGCTGTCGCTCATCCTGCGTTCTGTGCTTTCAGCTGAAACCGCCTGTGGCTGTGAATGGGAAGATGAGATAAAGTCACCTGTCTGCCGGCTCCGTATTCTACAGCATGGCAAGCTCTCCCAACAAAGAGCTGTCATTGCTCCAGCTGGAGGAGCTGGGCTGCAGCAAGGCCACTGCAAGGACATGCTCCCCTGGGATCATGACCCCGGCACACTACAGCAGTGCTCTCCCTGCACTGGCCGTAGAGCGCCATCCGGTGTGCATCCCCTCCCCATACATGGAGAGAAGCCATGACTACACCGCTGTGGCCTTCTACAGCCCCACACTTCTAGGCTACAATGGCCACAGCAATGGCAGCCTGCCTGAAAGCCCCACTGTCAGACAGTCGCTCAGCCCCTCCATGTTCTGGCCGGCTCCCAGCCACGTCTCGTCGCTGGCTATTCACTGCCAGCAGTCTCTAATGTACTCTGAGCCTCCTAGGAGCCCCTGGAGTGAGCCGCAACCCAGAGAGCCAGTGATGGTAGAAAACAGGTAAACCTTAAAAACTGAAAAGCCAACCATTTCCTTTATGCATTCTCTGTACTTAAAATAAAGCTTTGCATGAAATCCCTGGCAGGCATTTTAATGTTTCACAGTCTGCCTGTGCAGTCGACAGAATGTTTCTGTGCGGTCACAGAAAACTCGAGAGCAAATACAAGCAGTTTTTCCAGCATTGCAAAATAACAGCTGGCTATCTAATTTCAGCTGTATGCATCTGTGAGTTCTTCACTGACCCTGTCTCACTCTGCAATTTTTGAAACCCCCATTAAAAATCAGAAAGAATGTCAAGTAAAACGCATCTGGGTTTTGAATCGAGGCTTTGGAAGGTGTGAGCTAAACTGGCTTTCTTTGTGTGCAGCAAACTGTCTGTCCGAAGAAGAGAAGACTGTGAAGATATTGTGAATCCGTCCGGGGGTTGCCCGACAGGAAAGATGGACACACACTACTGTGCTGTCTGCAGCGACTACGCCTCAGGGTACCACTACGGAGTCTGGTCCTGTGAAGGATGCAAAGCCTTCTTCAAAAGGAGCATCCAAGGTACAGTAGCTGATCAAAGCCCATTATTCACCAATTAATTCTCTGGAAAACGCCCGATTACTGTAATTTAGTGTAGTTATAATACAGGTGCAACGAAGGCAAGCACAGGCAAGCATGGGCCAGGCAAACACAGTCCAGAGCCATAAACAGCAACAAGCAAAGTACAAAACCAAGAGACTCAGTATATGCAGCAGAGGAGAATCTAGAGAACGATTTCGGAGCGAGGCAAGGTTCCGGGAAGAAAACACAAGAGAGAACTCTGGGCAAAGCATGAATCATAGCAGACTGTATGAAAGAGTCCCCACCAGATTGCAGCTTAATTAGTCCTGAACCACCTGAGGGGGGCATGGTGGATAATTTCCTCCAGGTGGTACAAGGCACCTGTTGATTTAGTTATTTGGTAACTGGTACTGAATGACAGGTGGCCTGCTACTGTTTAAATACTATCTGCAGTAACGAGCATGACATAAACGAGTGCTCTTCTTCACCTGCATCCAGGACACAATGACTACATCTGTCCGGCAACCAACCAGTGCACCATTGACAGAAACCGCAGAAAGAGCTGCCAGGCCTGCCGGCTCAGGAAGTGCTATGAAGTGGGGATGATGAAGTGTGGTAGGCCCTGATTCACCTAAACACCCCAGAGCTCTGTCCTCTATGTTGTACTTTATCAGTCACTCAACTTACAGTACTTATCATAATAAAGTGCGAGTCAGTGCACTCTCCAATCAAACCAGGTTAAGTCTAAGCTGAGTTCAGTGAGAAATTCAGTTCATATGACCTATATACTTAAAAAAAAACATTTGTATTTGTATTAGCACATTGATACAGTATTTGTGACTCTGCACCCAGGGCACAAGGGGACCCAAACTGCATGCAGGCATTAAAAACACTATATATTCCCAGCTTTAGTTACATGTTGATATACAGTAGTGGGCAAATAGATTCACATAAAAAAATTAATATAAAAATGAACAAAGATAATCGTAGTGTCCTCAACAAAAATGGCATAGATTTTGGCAAGAATTAAAAGGTTAACATATTTGAATTGATTAATTACTGCACAAGTGTTACTTAAACTTTTCAAGCACTGTGAGACTAGTCACAGAAATTGTTTTTTCATAAGTTTGCTGAAGAAATAGAAATGTAATAGAAGAAATGTAGTTGGACTCCAGAAGAGTATAGAAACATTGGACTTTTGCTGAATTATGCCCAGCTGGAAACTACAACTGTAAATATTTTAATGACTGACTCTGGTAGTTCCTCAATCTCTGTTTCTACAGCACTGTTGTGAAAATTGCTGTGTTGGCCAGGTACGAGGAGAGAGCGTTGCAGTTACCGGGTGGTGCGGCACCGGCGTCTGTCCCAGGGCCAGGAGCCCCCTGGGGGGCGGGCCAGGAGGCGCAGCGAGGGCAGTTTCCCGCAGATCAGAGAGATCCACTCCTTTTCTCTCAGCCCCGAGCAGCTCATGTCCTCCATCGCTGAGGCTGAGCCGCCTGATGTCTATCTCATGGACTACCCCAAGAAGCCCTTCACCGAGGCCACCATGATGATGTCACTCACCAACCTGGCTGACAAGGAGCTGGTCCACATGATCACCTGGGCCAAGAAGATCCCAGGTAGGCCAGAGGCCCAGGGCTGCTGCAGCTCTCCTCCGAAAGTACCCACGGGCGGTGTTCCGCTTGCCCCGGAGGCTAAATTTGTTTCAACTCTTGCTAGAGGCAACATTCTTTTCTTTAAAAAACAATTGAGTTGTAGCTGTATTGTAAGCTGGTGTTTTTCTTTAATGGAAAAACAAATGGAGAAAAATGGCTTTGAAAGTTGCTGTGTGGGTAGCAAAATGTATTTGATACATTCCTGGTGCCGAGCCAGTACCTTGAGAAAGATAAACTGAATGTGTCTAATTAATTGTGCAGTGCAGATGTAAAGATATTAGTGTTGTTTACTTTTTATATATTCATGTTTTAATATTTTTTGGTTTATGGGTTATCACTACCAAGTTAGCCAGGGGAATAATTTGGATACCTGGGCTTCAAAAGGAAAACGTTAATTGAGTGTCTGGTACGTGTCTTTGTAAAAGCGCTGAATGTCAGAAGAAAGGTGTGTACAGTACATGATGGAAAGTGGAGCTCCATGTACAGGACCCCTGAGAAAAGACAGCCCCTCACCCTTCCTGCACTTTACATACTGCAAAGAAATCACAGCATCAAGTGTGAAACAAACAGGGCTCAGTGGAGGCTTTTCTGAAGCTTTAAGGGTACAGGATTAGCAGAATTAACATCCCACAAAAAAAAGAGGAGAGGAAATATGAGATCTTGAATTTTGAAGATTTTAATGGAGATCAAGGACTCAAGGACATGGTGAATATTGAATCCTATTAGTATGGTTAAGGGGACCCTTTTTCTTCATGGCACATTCTGTATTCTTAGATTTACAAGGTAAAGTTTCTGATGAGAGGTAATAGGACAGTGCGCTCTTGAAATGTCTCCACCCTAAGTCCCTCCACCACATCGAGAGAGACCCTGTTTCTGCACTGCTGTGCAACTTGAGAGATTTGGCTTTTTTGGTGGTAAACCCATCTGTGCCTTTCTTATTCTAAAGAGGGCCTGTAATTGAAAGTCTGTCTGGTTTATTCAATCTGGCAGGATGATTACCTCTCCCTCCAGGTCTGCTTTATTGTTCCTTCCTTATTCACCTTCACAAAGTGGGTCTTGTAATGCGTGTCATTTGAAGTAGTTGAGCGCGAATTACACAATTACACAAAGAGTGTGACTAAAAGGTGTGAAGGCTCTTGTCTCAGAAATTCAGGACTGCTCTTTGTATTAGTGTGAAATTACAGGTGAGTGTATTCAAATGTTAAGATTCAATGATGTGAAAATTAACCTTCATCACCTTCATAATGAGCAAGAAGTTACTGGATCTATATATAGTGATTTTTTTGCCAGTTTGAAGGGCATGGTACATTGGATTTAACAACTACTGCATTGATGGGGAGTAAAGTCATGAAGTTGCAGAACACCTCTGAGAATAGTGTTCTATTTTGATTGTTTTTTGAAAAGCAGCAATTTAATAGATGTTAAGGCATCTTAACAGTTTAACAAAAGGGGCAAAACAAAAGCCAAAATTATTACCACTCAGATGTTACAGGTGCTATGTAATTGTCTTTCCCTTTCCTTAAGGTTATATAAAAATTCAGGCTAATACAAACATTGTACTGAAGTTTTCTCTGAACAAAACAAAAGTTTAGAGGTGGCACACCACATTAACCAGAATTAAGATAGGATAGCTTTTATAAAAAAACAGTGATGAGTGTCTGTGTGCATGTGACAGGGATGTGTTGGGTCTCCCCCAGTGTTGTTCTGAATACTTATCATGTTATCCAGTGTGACTGGGCTGTGTGTTGGGGTGC